GTCTTAAAGAGACAGCAGCCTAAATAAACCTGCTGCTCTCTGTCTCATTATTGTTTATTTATACAGTGAAGACTACCCAGTGTTATTCTACAGTTGAATGTTGAATTAATGAATTGAACTAATAAAATGAATTGAATTAATAAATTTTTTTTAACAGTTGAGTTCCGTTTCTGTAGTAATTCTCTACCTAAATATTACTGTTAGACCTACCTGGAAAACTTAAAAGTAATGTTAATTTCATTTGTGTCTTGTTATTCTTTTTGTTTGTGCTATTTCTTGTCATGTATTTATTTGTTCTTATTTTATTACTTACTGTTTACTGTCTTTTTTAGTTAAAATAAATTCAATTCTGAATTTATTCACATGATTCTTGGGTGGGGAGGTTTAACCACCAGGGGGATGGAGGCCCCATGGGAAACAGTCCTGCTCCATGGGAAACTGTAATATATCTATAAATAAATATATATCTCAAAATATCTGTATTGCTAATATCATTCCTTCCCTTATGTTTTTGAAAAGCTACCACAAATGTTTAAAATTAAACTGCATTTGAAACGTAAGACTTAATCTGAAATGAATTCTATTGAAGCACATTCATTTTAAACTGCAAACTGAATTCACAACTGTGCACATTTCTATTAGTGCACACAATTCAAATTTGTGTTACTGCCTTGCATTTTTATGTATAACAATGCACCACATCTGCCAAGTTTCAAATGGAAACAGTTCAATGCTGCACTGACAAATAAGACTAAATTATTTGCAGTGTACAAATGTATTACAGTGCAGTGTACAGTGCTTATAATTTAGACTAGATCTCCCTAGTCAGTGTGGTTGCCATGTTGTGAAATTCCCTCTGTGCTCTTTGCTCCCAGGGTAAAACAAAGAGAGGAGGTGTAAAGGATGGTATAGCAGCTGTGTCACACCTGTTAGGAAATTTCAAATGCAGCATTTATGCATGCCCCGAAATTACAAAATCAGCCCTAAGCAAGTATAGTATAGTACAGTATACAGAGTAACAGACTAAATGGACTTCTCATTTTCATTTAATAGTCTCTGACTCAAAAAATTCCTCCAAAAATTCCTTATGAGAAATAAAAACTGTATAAAATTGATCAAATTAGCAGTTCAGATTAGAGGTGTCAGAACATATTGATGATAACCATGCTATTTATAAAATAATAATACTGATATCATGTTAATACTACACATATGATAATGTCATAAATAATCCAGAGGCAGTAATTACTGGGTTGACACGTGGTGTTATTGAACCTTAACGTTGTTGCCAACCATCATAAAACAAAAAGAAGACAATGCATTGCGTAGCTACTATTGCTTCACAAAATCATGTTGGAGGAGAGACCTGCACCCCAAAAAAATCTTGCCAATTTGTGGGAGATTTTTGGATTCCATAAAAAGTTCAGTATTTTCCAACCCTGTTTCTGAGGACACATCAACAGTACACATTCTGGAGGTCTCTCTTATCTGAACCATCCATTTCAGGTCTTGGAGTCTCTATTAACAAGCTGAGCTGAATCAAGTGTATTTGATTAGGAAGAGTTCAAAAATGTGTACTGCTGGTGTGCCTCCAGGAACAGGGTTGGGAAACACTGTCTTGGACGGCCCAGTCTAGAGGAAGCGCCCATAAACAGCAAATTCTTTTTGTACGCTTTTTTACAGTTATAGTTACAAACTCTCTCTCTCTCCACCTCCCTACACTTGTATTTTGAGTGACTCATTGGCCAAAAAAGAGAAATCACAAAATAAACAAAGTTAAAGATGAATTTGACTGTTCCCAAACTGCTGGGGGTTTGTGAGTTCATGAAAAGCTAATAATTAACTACATCGAACAGGGCTGCATTATTAATCGTATTTTAATCGTGATCAAGATTCCTGCTTCTTTCGAAATCACAGCAACTTCAAGTAAATATTTTACACTTAAGAGGTTCAACTGACAAAAAAATGTTTGGGAATCAAAAAAATTTAGTAAGCAGATAGCGGTGTCCGATAATTATTGTCTATGATAATATCGTAATTGTTGTTTTAACAATGTGCAAGCTGACATTTTCAAGTATGTCACTCAGTTTGCAAAAAAACAAAAACATTGACTGTGATGAAATTTATTGGAATGCAGTTAGAATGCCTCTGTAATTCAAGTTATGAAAGCAAAAATATCCCTGTATGGGATTTTGTTTTTAATATTTATGAGATATGATATAGTTAAGTGATATTACACAAGCAAGAGGGCTTATCAAAATATCAGCGTGAGCGCTGATCGCAAATGAGACAGGGCTCCAGACAAAAAAAATAATTTAAGGAGCCATTGGCACCTATAAGAAACAAAAATAGGTGACAACTTAATTTTTTAAAGTTCCACAGAATAAACGTGTTTTCTTTCTTTTCTTTTTGAAAAAAAAAAAAAACACCTTAACATTTCAGTCATACTGTCATGTGTTAAAGGGGTCATATGATGCGATTTCAAGTTTTCCTTTCTCTTAAAAATCGACGCGTTTCAGAAAGGCGGGGCATAGAGGAGAAACAATAATGTACAGTATGTGGAAAATAATGTGTTTTTTGAACCTTAAACCACATAAACACATTTCATTACACCATATACACAAAATAATGTTCTTTTTTAGAAACGTCATATGACCCCTTTAATGTCTCCCCTCCTTTTACAGCATCAGCATTTTAATTAATCTTGAAAATGTCCTGGGAACTAAGGTTCACTTGAAGTGGGAACTACATGTCTTTTCCAACTTGAGAACTATATACAGTCACAAAAGATTGTTTATAACACAGAATCTGTGCCAATATCACAGACCATAACTATGTCAGCATCACTTGGCTATTGAGTGTAGTTTGGGCTCCTCCTCAATGCATCCTATAAATGCTGTCATACAGTATTGTGCTGCACACATCCAGTCTGTTTTTCTTCATTAGTAACATGCAATTATATAGAAGTTGTTGAATTTTATCTTTAGCTCCTTGCATTCTTTCTTATCATGTAGATAACAGGTTAAGTAAAACTATGAATATGCAACATAGTGCATATATTTAGCTAAATGCTCTTCTTTATAGTTATTTTTCCTAGCTGAATAATGAGCTTATGTACACCGAATGGTTATTCTGAGGTAAATGTATTGTTACGTGTTACGTAGTTTACAAGCTTTACACGTTTTCCGCAGTTTGAAACACTGAATGAGCGATTACATGAGATATTTCAGTAAGTTGTACTGTATCTTCTAAAATCTTCTACCTTGTCCATTCATGTTTATTTTGTACTATAGTAGTAAAGAGAAAGATATGATGGGTTTACGTGCCGCTTAAACTGAGGCGCTAAAGTGATCGCTCATGCCACATTTTAAAGCTGATGCTTTGTTTATTAAAAGGTAACAGAGCACAAAGCTTATTGCAATTATTGGACGGCAAGTGCGCTACAAATAATATGAACCTCACACATTAACAGATCACAGCATGTAGACTAAAGATCATGATAACAAGAAGCCATATCAGTATCGATTATAAACGAGAATTGTTAACAATGATCTTATTGTCCACAAAGCTGACAGCTTTACCAGTTGTATATTTTGTTCAAGTTGTGCACGAAGTAGCCACTGCTTGTCTGCACTTTTACTTCGCTCATCTCTCTTATGCTGCACAACTGGAGCTGCGTTTAGCAGGTGTGCCGTCAACGCTGCTGTTTGTTCCATTAAAACTTTGATGTGCATCGTCTCAGTTTATTACGTCAACAAAACAACAGATGTGATCGCACGTGAAAGGCATTACATGCAAATTTTTAAGTCATAACATATAAATGTATATAGTCGCCAGTGGCGATCTCAGCAAAAATATCACTCGCAAATTCAGAGCCGATCCTAGACTTCTGGGGGCCCTAAGCAAGGGGGGAAGGAGGGAAGGGGGGAATAAAAACTAAGATGGGAAGGGTTCATAAAAAACTATTTAAACAATTTAGACTATAATAGCCTACTATACAGAAATTGATTAAAGTAATCAAATGTAAAAATAAAGCCCTGCATAGCCCACCATATAAACTAAACATAAATTGATTCATCACAAAGTTATACAATATTCAATGAAGAGCAGTGAATGATTCTCTCATTTTCTTTTGTTGTTTGATTAACAGATGATGGCAGACAGCAGCAGGTTTATACAGTAGGATGCTGTCACAGAATGCACAGATACTGACTAGTATTCGATTACTTTTCAAACTGTTTATTTTCACTAAAGACATAACTGACTGTGTTTAGTGAAAACTCACCAAGATGGGCATTTTGACATATACAAAGCGCAAAGTAGCCAATATTTGTCCGTGTTTCAGTGCGTCTCGAATTGCGCACACAGAAAGCGCTTTGGGAAACAGTGTCTTTTCAGCGGATCAGTGCGAATTTAACTCGTTTTTTAGTACCGAGCAAGAATGGCAGGAGACTGTATATGACAGTCACGTTACCGCATTAAGGAAAGGAACATTCATGTTTTCATAACCGCTGGCCAAAACCAAAAACGAAACTAATGTTAAATAATCATTGAGAGCAAGGGGGCCCTACGCAACATGCGTACTTTGCATATAGGGAGGATCGGCTCTGCGCAAATTAATATTTTTGATTGAACAAATCATTTGAATGAATGATTCAATGAATCGCTCATTGAGACAAGGACTTGCCGCCACCTACTGGTGGATTTAGTGTCATATTTATTCATCGATGATGGGCCTAAACCAGCCAAGATATCAGCACAAAAACACACTCAGTAAAATTATCATTATCAAAATAATCCCCAAAAATAAAGAGATCATTTTTGTCAATATCGTACAGCCCTAGAAGCAGGACACCAAAGTAAAAATGTGTCATTCATTTAATCTCATTGCAGTCTAGTTGAACAGCTGAGATATTAAGCAGATCTAATTTGTGATTTTTTTTAACCTGTGGGAGTGTAATGCAGTATAGAAGTACTCTAGGTAGGGACGTCATACATACCTCTGTATGTACTGCGACTGCAACAACCCCTTCCATGACATGAGTCCACTGTCTGGCTGTCCCCCTACTGTCCTCCCATCCTGTGGACTAGGCCAATTGTAAACAATGCCCACTGGACACACATGGTTCTAGAGCACTTTTAACGCTTTCAGAAGCACCTGCTCCCGGTCCTACAAGCGTGGATTAAGACTAAAACAGCAGAAGAGCTTTCAGTAGTGCATTGTTTAACTGTGCCGCTTCTGGAGATTCAGAGAGGGGCTGGTAGAAACAGAGTTGGGCCAAGCAGCAGAAGCATAATTTGAATAAAAACAGACCTGAGGTTAGTTTCTAGTGGGATCGTGCAGCGAGTTGTGAATCGTGATGGCCGTGTTGGAGATGGATTTCTCAAGTCCGTCGAGTGCTATTTGTACCGGGCCTGTGCCACGTCCATGGGCGAGCACTAGGCTTGCTTTAAGTTCACTTACGTGAGACTGGAGCGTTGCAAATGGAGTAGAAATCAGAAACAGATTGGGTACAGCAGTGATGAAGCTGTCAGCGCTCTGTTTTGAAGACGAAATCTCTGATGAAATCTCAGCGAAAGCAGAACGAAATTCAGACTTGGAGGATCGGAGGCTTATTACAGGGGTTTGTCATTAAAAAGGGAGTCTACTGATGGCATGGAGGGATAGTAAGCGTCTTTTCAGAAACTCCTCGTGGCCTTCCACCGACAACGTCTTAATGAGTCTCTGTAGGATACACAATCATAAGTATTAGAATATGCAAATGGAATAATAATCACATTGTAGTTAATACTTAAAAATGCATATGCATATGCAATACAAACATCAACGTGTGCACAATTTATAGGCATGCATGCACTCTCCAGCTTTCGATATGGAGCAATGCAAAGGAGCGCTGCACAGAAAATCGGCAAGCATCCGAAAAGCATGACGTCACCTGATCAAGACCGCATCCCTTTGAAATCGAAATAAATGGAGACCATCAATACGATCATCAATTACCACAGATGAAATTTCAAACGCTCCCTTTCGTTTTGCAATGCCTTTAATGTGCAGCCAGGCTTTATACGACGGATAACTGAGTCTAATGCATTCATAAGCAGAGAAAGGCTGTGAGGTGACGTCATCTACATCCTGACTCACAAAACCTGAACTAACTGAGCATAATAACAATCATAAACGACAGACAACTCAAAAGCTAAAGTATTAATCGATAATTAACGCTGAACTGTATATCAGCGACATCAGATATGATGCCTCAGCTCCAGATAAGGCACAGCATGAATGTATGACAGCATCCAGTGAACTGTCAAACACCTTCACAAAAGAAAAGATGCATTAAACACTTTACGGAGACACGACGGTATTCATTTACACGTGTTTTACTTAAGCAACCGCGAATCCAGCTGCATATATTGAACACAGGAGATTTATCTGACGGCTAATAATGATACAGACCAATAGAAAACTGACCAACTTACTCACAATAATAACAGTCAATTCTGCCGCAAATAACGGTACATTTCAGCCCTCCTCCTCATTCCCTTGAAGTTCAGCGAGCAACACGAAGAGCTCGCGTTTACCTCAGTACCCGCCGTTACTATAGTGATTTCTGCTCGAAATATTGTTATTTACTGTCACAGTGCAGTCAGTGGGTGCTGAAGCGTCTGTCCAGCTAAACTGCCTCAATCTTTTTGTACTCTCGCTTCTTGCTTAGCCAACTTGCCTATAATTAATCTTTTACGACACAGGATCCACCAAAACGTGCTATCAGTGTAGTGTTGTCTTTCTTAACTGCTAATTACGCATTTGTATCGTTGCTAGAGTGATAGGTATTAAATATTAGTTGTAATTTTTTACCTCAGTTTCTCTCCCTCCAATCTCGGCTTCCCTTCCCCCTTTCCACAGTAACTATAAACCCCAACGCCTTGTGGGAATTGTGGTTCTTCTACTGTAAATAGACTTCCGGTACTGTAGGAGCCCTTTAGTCACTATCTAAAGTATTTTTGTTTGTTTGTTTTGTTTTGTTTTCATTAAATTTCAGTGACAGCAGTACTTCATCTAAAACGACTTTGATTTCTTATATAAATATGCCATTTCATGAGATTTTTAAAGCTGTACATGGAATATAATATATTCCTATTTTATCAAACAAACAAACAGAGCTGGGTAGATTACTTACAAATTGTAGTCCATTACTGATTCCAAATTACATGACAAAAATTATAGTTAGTGACGTAATCCATTACATTACACATTTTAGGTAATATAATCAGACTACTTTCTGATTACTTTTAGATTACTTTTGACCAAACTCATTCATCACGTTGATTTAAATAGGATAATCTTGTACCATATTGTTATAAAAAATAAAAAATATATATTCCATTTGTTACAATTAACAACATGAAGTGCACATGAAATGAGAGCTAGGCTACGTCAAGGTTTCGCAAACTGGGGTTCGTAAAGGAACTGCAGGGTTTTTGAGAGTTTAATGAAAAGCTAATAATTAATTAAATTATAAAAATGTAAAATTAAAATCATTTTAAAATAAAAAATCAATCAAAATAAAACACTTACTAAAAAAGGAAATATTTTGTACCTGCATGTCATGTGACCATTAACCAAAGTCAGAGAACCGTGAACATGCAAATGTGATACTTAATTATTAAACTATTTATTTTAAAATCTCAGGGGTACTTCAAGTAAATGTATTAGGTGAAAGAGGTTTAGATGGCATGCCTGCATTACATGTAAATAAGAAATAACTTGAATTTGTGCATTTAAATGTGTTTGAAAGCCAACAGCCTCCCAAATCACATGGTTAAATAACCTAATTCAAATAAAAATGAATGTGTTCATCAGCAGTTGATGCAATGTTGAAACATTTTGTAAACCTGAAATGATGTTTGTGAATCCAGTGGTCAAATGCTGTGTAGCCACCTGACTGGTGACTGGTCTTTGTGTGAATGTTATTTTGCAATTATGCTTACCCATTTATCAGTACCAACATGTAGTTTAATGCAGGCAAATTAAGGAAATACTTTTAAGTGGACATGCACTTTGCATAAAGCATTTTGGCCTGTGAGTTTTTGGCATTTTTTCTACTGCTCGTCCTTTTAAGGTTTAATTTCTAAAACCTATTTGCATACACATCTTTTCTTGATTACTGTACTGACACATAAGAATGACAAAGCAGGATCAAATGGAATTGACTAGCAATGAATAAATTGAGCTTGTATGTACAATGACTGTCTATAGATATAAGGGTGTTAGTGGAGGCCTCTATCAGTGTTCTGATCCAGTCTGGATAGCTTATTAATTTACATGCTTCAGCTGGACCATCGTCTGCTGTGTAACAATATTAAACATGTGTCTTTCAGAAATGTCCCAAAACTGTGGACACAGAGGGGTCATTTGCACAACTTCTGCTTTGAAATTTATTTAAAATAATCAGAAATTGCCCACTGCGTCGGAAAATATGAAAAACATCAGAGAGGGGATTGCGGCCCGCCTTTGGCCACGACATCAGTGTTTACCTCATTTCCTGCTTTGTGCAATGCTGGCTCAGTCGGACCTTCAAGGAGCTGAGAAGTTCCCAAAACACATGCGAATAACCAAACACCTCCTTGCTTTAGCAAACCCGGGCTAATCCACTCCAGACGACAAGACATTTTTATGGACTGAGTTTCTGGCTGTAATACGAGTCACATTCCCTTTCCGGGGGCAGTTTGCTTGAACATCGGTGAGACGTTAATGGGCATAACTGACTTAAAAAGTTGTTTATATAACTGGCTGAGTGGCCTGCCAAAGTATGTAGATGAAGCTATTTCCTGTATTTCCTTACTCAATCTGCAGATTGAGGCTTTGGTCATAATTTGTGCTCCTTCTTGTTTTACACATGTAGGAAAACAAACCCAGTGAACAACAAAACAGACTGATACTGTAGTTTGTTATTTTAATAGTTTTAATGAATATTCATTTAGCAGACATCCTTTTCCAGGGTGATAAATAATAATATTAACTTAAAATAAATACTTCTGTTTTTTTTTTGTTTTACAAATAATGTTAAAATAGGAACTACTAAGCCCAAGAATAATAGTCAGTGGTGTTTTGCAGAAGTATATGAGTGAATAAAAGGAAGTTCAAGCCACAAAATGGGGGTGACAGAGGAACCAGACTGAGTTTACCATCAGGTTGAAATCGAAACTTACTAAATCTCCACTGCAATGGAGGTTCCTGCTTTGTGCAATGCTGGCTCACAGTCAGACCTTTTGTGGCGTAACCTCCAGCATCCATTTTTAGTTATTATAGTTTGTGCATGTGAAAACATTCAAAATTACTTGGCTCGAACATTGAGCAGCATATTGTTTTGATGGACAATTTAACTTCTATCTGTGTGACATTTTTACAAGTGTAGGCTGAAATGGGTGTGACCGTTTTGGGTGGGATGAGCTTGGCCCTGAAAAGAGTCGCCCTTGTTATGTCATCTGTTTTTAGGGTATAAATGTGGACGTCAGCAGGCAATGGCTGCTTCCACACCACCATTTGATGCCATTCTGTGCCTGAGATGGTTTGCGAAATCCACCTGGGTTTGAGAAAGTACTCGGTTGATCACAGTTTTTGGGATCCAACCCTAGAGATGATAGAACAGGGATAAACCAGACTCAGTAAGCTTATTCGGAAGAACAGTGTGATACTAAAGTCGTTACTTACGTAGATCTTCTACATAACATCATTTAAAGCATTATCTATTATTTCAAACAATATGGGAAAAAATACTATGACCAGAAACTGTTTGACTACCAATATTCTTCAGAATGTCTTTGTTTGTGCTCAGCAAAAGAAAGAAACTCATACAGGTTTGGAACAACATGAAGGTGAGTAAATAATAAATTTTTTGGGTGAACTATCCCTTTATAGGCAAAGTGTGGATTTTTTTTAAGACAATGGAGCAAACTAAATTGCAAAAATAACTGTTTCTAACAGATTTCCTGAAAACTCCCCCAATTGGTTGGGATAAGAGATGTTTGTTGGTCTCAAACAACCAGAGAAATTTCGACTGTGCCAACAGTGCTAAGAGTGTTTAAACTTTTCAGGGAAATCAGTCTTGTAACAGCTTGCTAATAGTTATTAAACTGGAATACAATAATATATTTGTAACATCCAAGAATTTACAGCCACACACAGGACAATTCACTTACCTTAAGGTCTAAACTGAGCAACCAGGTAAATTTTGTCTTATTGGGATCTTCTGCACTTGGTCGCATCACAATACAGGTGGGTCCATTCTCAGCCCTTAGAAAGAAAGAAATATTGTAAATATAAATGTGTATATTTCAATCATAAGAACCCTCAGAATAGTTTTAACATGTTAATCGATAAGACAGTGCTAATGTATTTGGTCTTGGCTGCTGCTACATGAATAAGCACCATAACAGATCTAGACAGGTGGAGCTGGGGGAGGTGGAGGGTTTCAGAGGAACTCTGATAGCTTGCTGTAGGACACTGAACCAGGCCATATACAGGAAAGTGATTCATATTTTCACTTACCTTACAAATCCTTTCTGCTCAGGCATTCCAGGGTGCTGAGTGGACATCCCGGCCAGGAAGCACGTAGATCCCCTCCGCTTGGCACAACGGACACTTACAAAGTCTCGTGGGCCCACCACATTCCCAGGTGTTTCAGCTGAAACCTCATGTGTGATCAGAGTATCTTGACCGATCTTCTGAAGAACCTGAGAGGGACCAAAACTGTACTGAATATCAAATATCTCTACTCTGTGAGTAAGACATGAGAAGACAGGAAGTCTTTTAAAAGTGCAGACACTATAAATGCACACATTGCAGTTAGACCAACAGAAGGAAGGAAAGGAAGCTGTCAGTCAATAGATCAGTTGTTTCTACCCACTTTGACTTGTTTGACATTGGGGTTCCACTCCCCCATTTGTTCCATGTTATCCACCAGCTCCTCATATAGATAAGCTGTCTTCTGTTCCAGCATGACTTCCAACTTGAATACTTTCC